TTTGCAGACTTCTTTTCACGTCTGGACGAAATAAATTTATAGTCCTGTCATTTGCCTATTGGTTGTTTTTTTTTTATTATTTCTTTACTTACTTACCCTAAAAAACCTTTCAGAAAAAAAAATGGATACGTATCCCCTGAACCAGTGCGGTGCCACTTGTAGACTCCAACCGAGAGATGAGTTTAAAAAATATACAATTTATTCCACATTCACAATCAAACAAGTAAATTGAACGCATCCGATTACGTTGAAGACGAAGGTGAAAATGATGTAAATGATGTAATGATGAGATGATGGTTCGACTAAAAAAAAAAAAAAAAATTACGACTACAAATTATAATAGATCTAAGAAAAATTGACAAACTAAATGAAAAAAAAAAAAGACTAACGACTTACAGATATTTCCTCCTATTGATGTGAACGGGTCGAGTAAAATTAACGATGATTTGAAAACAAGATCTTGCCGTGACGAAAGCCAACACTGAATATAATAAACTGAAAACTTAAAGGCGTAATCAAAAGAGTCACATGAAGATTAAGGTTAAAATTTAAATCGAGAGTAACGCACTTACGTGACCGGTCACGCACGTTTGAATCTTACACCACCTACCCTTCGGGCTCTTAAGTCCTTTAAAGTATGCAATCACAAAATGAGAAAAAGATGAATAACAGTTTATGTTCACGCTGCAGCAAAATTTATATGAGAGAGGAATTTGTTTCTAATATTAGAAAGACTTAAGAGTGCTAATGAGAACTTGTGAAAGTGAGATGAAATATTGTAGTGGACCTTAAAAGAATGCGAGAAGCGTGCGAGAAATATTTAATTTTTATGTAAATAAACACGTTGAATAGGCACTTCCGGCTTCAAGCTTGCACAGAGTTATGGGCCAGGGGACTCCCCTGTCATTTTCACTAGCGACTAAATACAGGAATGGCTCCGATCTGTGATTGGATGATAAAAATAGTGCAAGTTAATAAGTTAAGTTAAATCTTAACTCCTTGCTCGTGAGTATTGATAACCGCGTGTCTTGAGGCGGAACAATGAAATATCAATGTGAAAACACCGATGTGTCAAACAAGAAATGGCTACTTACATAACAAAGAGAAGGCAGAGTCTCTCTTGTTCAGCGAGCTCGTTCAACGAGTTCGTTCAGCGACATTCCGGCGATGAAAAAGTTATCCGCTGCCAAGCTCCGCTGACAAAACTCATTTAGTCAGTTTAGGCGGACGACCAGAGACTGGAGCCATTCCTGTATTTCACCGCTGACAGGAATGGCTCCAACTCATGCGTATATTAATTTTTTTTCGTTGTGGCTAAATAATTTATGCAATAAGATAAAAAGTGAAAGAGCGATTTATTAGGTTCTTCTTATGTTGAAGTGAACGGTGCTTGCAGGGCCATGTAGTTTCTAAGTTTTAAAATAATGCAGCAACTGAATGTCACGTTTGGAAAATCACGCAATGTTGCGTGACGCTGCGACCGATGTTTTAATTTACGGTATACCCTGCTGGAGAAATATGGCTTGGCCGAAATCGAGGGAGTTTTTTTCGTGGAGAACTAATTTTCTAGGTAATTGTTCACATGAAGGACAAATCCATTCATCGGGCTCTTCATCTGTTTTTGCACAACACCTAAAGGAAGAAAGTCGCGGATTAATTTTGCTTGGTAATTTCTAACAACTTCACTAAAACCTAAAAAAGGAAAAAACATTTCAAACATTTCCTGTTTGAGACATCGGTGTTTTCACTCGCATTGATATTTTATTGTTCCACTTCGAGACACGCGGTTAACAATACTCACGAGCAAGGAGTTAAGACATAACTTATTAACTTTTACTATTTTTATCATCCAATTACAGGTTGGAGCCATTCCTGTATTTAGTCGCTACTGTCATTTTCGCAACTCGCCATTGAGATTCTTCACTCTACAACAGAGCTTTCGAGTCTTTCTTGGTACTCTGTCAGTCTTGGTGACTTTCTTTGAAACATTTCCATGACGGATTGAGGAATCAAGGTCGTTAATCAGTCAAACGTGCCTTCCATTTCCGCGACAGAAGTAAGAACGCATCGTTGAATCAGATTTGTGGATGTAAGGTAAATACTTTTATTTGGAGTTTCTCAGTTAACAATTTCTCCTTCAAATGTCCTCAATCTGTCCTAATTTTACCTGATGTCCGGCAATGTAAGACGTTCCTGCAGTTAAATGACGAGGATTACCAACTTTTATTCGATTCTGGCGTGTATTAATTGTATTGACGCTTAGTGTTACTTGTAAGCTAATTGAGCTGAGCTTACATGAACATGTTACAACTGTCGAATTCACAAAAATTCTCAGTCAATACCTGGCATTTACATCTAAAAATATTAATTTGAGAGAGTTAAAAGGAATCTCCAAATTACCGATTTGATTTAGTGCAAGCGCGGATGATCGAAAGACTTTCAGTTGCGTTTGCGTTTCATGTACATGTGGAGCATGCGCACGAAAGTGTTTTGCGCTAGCTTTCATGTCTGGATTACGTGTTAACTCAAATTCCTTCCGTATTTAAGATGCATTTAATTAAAAAGCGATAAACATTTCCAGCTTATTTCATGTGTTTATGTTTATAATTTTATAGTTTGAGAGTAATTTTTTCTTTAGGATGGACTGCTTAGATTGTCCTTCCAAACTGTACTGTTATACTGATTTCCTTGTTAAATATTGAGACAAGTTGATTTTTCTTCAAATGCCGGCTAGTGATTTATTGGAAGCGTCCTTTCAGTTAACTAAATTCAAGTTTTAGAGCCCAATTCATCAACTGGTAATGATTGATTGGTATCTGAGTCAGAGATTCCAACCCTCCCGATTTGATCGGGAGTCTCCCGATTTGATCGGGAGTCTCCCGATTTGATGTCTTGCCTCCCGCTCTCCCGATGTTTACCAAATTCTCCCGATTTATCATAAAATTCTGAAAACTAGGGGAAAATTGCTAATCTTTAGAATTTTTGGCGATCTGTCACTGTGAAACACTCATATTATACTTACTTTCTTCGCGAAGAGCATTATGGTATGTTATAACTCAGGCCGGAATGATGTCAAAATTCAGGAAATGGCACTTGAGAGAACCTAAATTTGCCAAATTTCCCGGGGCATGCCCCCTGACCCCCCTAGAAGCTCGCGCCTTTGGCACTAATAATTACTCCCTATTTTCCATCACATGGGGTTGGAATCTCTGCTGAGTAAAGTTTTACCTTTCATCATCTTCTAATCAATATATGATCAATCAATGATCACATCAAAACTGGTTTAGTTCTGCATGTGGCAGCACGCATCCAAGTATGTGTCTGGTGATAATTTATGTTATCATATGGCGAGGTAGGCTTCGTTGGGGTAAATAAAAAAGTTCTGATTGGTTCTTACTTGGTTAGGATTTTGCCACCAAGATCATCATCACACCATACAGACAATCATAAAACATGTAAATTCAAAGCAAACTAGTTTAGTCCAAGTGACATTAGTGCATGACAATTACCTTGCTTTCCTGAGCTGTACTGGGGAATATTGGTACTATGCCATTCCTATACTGCCACAACCTTGGGCCAATATTCCCCAGTAAATTAAAGCCCTGGTGCTTAACTGATTAGTTAGAAGGTAGTACTGGCTTTTGTAAAAATAATCTACACTGTATATGTATCTCTGGCTATTTTAAATTCCAGTACAATTGATTTCCTTGTTATTCTAGTTTTTATTGAATTTATTTGTACATGAAGACAGCCAGTAAGGATTATTTGATATTTAAAAAACAAGCCATCTTGATTATTAGGAGAATTAAAGTTAGCATCAAAGACAAATCAATTTTGTGCACAAAACAATGTAAACATGAAATGAATACAAAAACAATCAGTAAGATATATATATACCAGTAAACCACAAATTTCTTCACCTGTACCAAATTGAAATCCATTTCAACACACATCAGCATGCATAAATGTATATATTTCACTGCTTTTCCAGCAATAAGTGTAACAGTTGAACTAACCCTCACCTATACGAATATGGGTGTCAGCTCAACAGAAAGAAATTGAATTAAAGAAATATATCTTTCATAAGTTTTGACCAGTAATCCCTATTTAAAAATCAGATGAGATAATTTTTCTTTGGTGTTGTAAAATTTGTTTCTTATGAGAAAGAATTCAGCATAAACTCTTTCCTCTTGTGGAGACATGATGGTCTTATGATTTAAGTGAGGTGGACTCAGGGTCAGGAGGTCTGCATTTGTAACCTGGCCTGTGCTGGACTCAGGGTCAAGAGGTCTGGGTTCCAGTCAATGTGTTGTGTTCTTGTGCAAAACACTTTACTCTTACAGTGCCTGTCTCCAGCCAGGAGTACATGTATAAATGGGTAGCAAAAATTAGTTAGGGAAACCTGATAAAATGCTAGGGGGGTGAAAGGGGGGGGGGGGGGGAGGGAATAACAGTGGAATGGACTTGCATCCTGTCCAGGGCTGGGTAATAATACTCCCAGTTGCTTCATGTGAGGAAGCCAGGATTAATTAAAGCTCAGGTCCTGGATGGACCACTGTTCAATTATCCAGATGCGACCTAACTACCTACCACCTCTTAGTTTAAATTATTTAAATTGTTGCTGTTACAAATTATATAAACTTGAAACACACAGATGTTGATTTTTGCCCAAGTTATTTCAGTCAATTGGGAATGTCTTTAGTAAATCTTGAAATTTATTGTAATGAGAAGAGAATTACTGTTCATTTAAATATTAATGCTTGTTTTCTTCAGTATAGATATCTTTTTGTTCTTTTACTGCTTTATAAATATGCTATTAATATTAATTGCTTCTGATTTTGTGTCTTTGTATCCCTCCCATTCTCAGAGGGGGAAAATATTTAGTTTACAATTGGGTAATATGTTGAGCTAATTTTTTTACCACTTGCAACCATCTTTTTTTCAGGCCAGGATGACTTAAAACAGCAACTTTTTGTAAGAAGCATCCCCTTACAGTTGCTATGGCTAAAGAAAGAAGTCCAATTAAGGTTCCATCTGAAAATGAATACTTACCTGACAAAGAGAATGCTCCAGATTTTGACGAGGACACTTTACAAGGTGAGCTAGGTTCAACTTTGGCTTGAGTCACTGTTAAAACGTTTTCTATTCCACCAGTTTCAAGAATGTAAGCAGATGTGGAGAATGATATATACACTGCATGACCACTTTAAAGGATATTTGGCCAGTCATGACTCTTCTATGGTTACAATATGTTGTTCATTGACTGAGAGGATCTATGACATATTTGTTATTTTCTTTTCTCAAAGTTCAAAGCAAGTACACAAAGTTATAATAAGTAAATGCTTTATTTGATCATCATATAACATCCATTTTGTAAGTTTGCATCATAAGTACATGTACCATCATCATCACCATCATCATCTTTCCATTATATTATGCAACAATTAATTGAAAGTTTCAACTTCCCTTGACACCCAAACATCAGTATCCATATTCTCCATACTATTCTTTGTATGTTTCTTTTGGTACTGAAAAAGAGAATTCATTTGAAGATCAATGCTTCTTAGGTTGGTGATCATTTCCTTTATTCTCATGAGCTTAGTGAATGATTCAGCAGTATTACTGTAAGGAGAAGTGAGATGCTGGTCGCTCTTAGGGTTTTAAGAGTTAAGGTAGATAGCGAACTTTCATGAACAAATGGCTCAGAAGAAAAAAGTTTACAAGGTCTAGGTTTTAAAGCTTGGTTAATTAGTTGAAAGTCAGGTTGCTACTTATTTCATTTTTTGTATAAAAATTGTGTGGGGCATTTGAACACATTCTTAATTTTGCCTGTGGAAGAGGAATTTTATGAAACCTATCTCCAAAAGTTTAAATTCCTAGGGGTTTGTTTCGAATAGAGTGATGCTTAATTCTCATCATTATTATTATCCCTGTTGTCACCAAATAAATATTAATCTCATCTTCTTTATCATTATTCTTCTCATTTATATAATAACTATTTTTTTATGAGTAATATTGCTTCTGGTTTTTATGACTGCCACATTTGGATCTTATTGACTCATTAATAAGCTATCTAAATGTATTAATGGCAGTAGACTCTTCTACACTTATGATATGCCAACCCTCCCTGATTGTCAAGGAGTCTCACAGACACAGAACAAGACTCTGGGTCTGCCATATGGGTCATCAAACCTTTAAGATAAAAGAGGATTTGGGTCAGTTCCACACAGAAACAACATTTGAATTCCAGATTTCCCACATCTAAAGTTATCTTGCCTTTTGTTAAAATTAGGGTTCTTATCTTAATTTTCTTGATTGCACTTAGATTGTTTCAAAGTAGGGATTACACTTTCTTCCAAACAACAACCACAACAGCATCTGAGTCTGATTGGTTGAGCTTTCAACCAAAAAATCTCCCATGAATTTACTGAATGGGGTGTTTCCTGTGAAGGGGGTGGGGGGGGGTCTGCGCACATCCTCTAAGCTTTTCAGGGGATGGGTCAAGTCAGGCAGGTGCAAAAGTGGCAGCTGGCACAAAAGGAAAAATCTTCAGATTTTAAATCTCCAGATCTTGGCAGCTCTGCTCATACACTAATTAATTACAACCACAGATAATTATTGACTACAACCACAGACTTTAACACAAATTATTTTTTATTTTTTCTTTGCAGCCATAGCTAATGTTTATAGGAATGAGGGTAATGAGGCCTTCAAGAAAGGAGATTTCATCAATGCTATTCATTTTTACACTAAAGGAATTAAAATGAACTGCAATGAGAAAGAACTGAAGGCCAAACTGCACAACAACAGGGCTATTGCACATTTTAAACTTGGTAAGATGATGAGAGCTTTAATATGCATCAGTAGTTTTCTGAGATAGGTGATAATTTTTGATGCATGCCCAGAAAAAATATACATCTTATCTTAATTGGCCTTGCAAATATACAAAGAAGTCACCTCTTACCCCAGATATCAGTGAGCATCGCAAGTTTTTCCCAAAATTATTGTAATGGAGTGGTGGTTGGTTTGCTACATGTATGGCTAATCAGAGATATTTATTTTGATAACAGGGAATCACCAGGATTCACTAAGGGATGCAGAAGCAGCCATTGAGTTAAATCCAACTTTCCTTAAGGCAATTGTGAGAGGTTAGATATGTTAGCTGTGCTATAATAATAATAATAATAATAATAATAATAATAGTAATAACAATAAAAGAATAACTCAACACTCTAAGGTTAAATGAGATTAGATGAAGCTCAATCTTGTCTCAACATTTGAACCCAGCTCTTGACTGCTACACAACTACTTTCCATTAATTATGATGAGAATATTATTTTGAGCTGGATGAAGAACTCAATGCAGAATGCAGAGCAAAATTTCAGCAGGAGTATTTTAGTTCCTTAAGCTAACTGAGAGAGGTAGTCACAGGTATCAGATATGTTAAGTCACTATCTAGCTGTTTTAAAAAGAAGTAAGGATCAGGACTTACCTAACTCTTTAGGTAAGGAATTGTCGGTCCCAATTTAAATGTTCTTAGAAGTTTCAGTTATCTTAAAAGCTAAATAAATCTAACTGAAACCTGATAGGGCCTGTTTATTCTTTTCCATTTAGTTATTTTGCTTTGTTTTGTTTTGTAATATTTTTTTTGGTCTGTAATGATTTATGTGGATTCAGGCTCTTTTTTCAGAATTGAGCTACAGTAATAATATGCTTCTTTACGTTGTTGCCCATAGGAACCACTGCTTGTGTTGAATTGAAGAGATTTGAAGAAGCAATCACTTGGTGTGATAAGGGACTAGCTGTATCCTTTGAAGGAATCTTTCATTTTTAACCATGGGTATAATGGAAAAAGTTTCCATAATTTGATGTTTTAAGGGAGAAAATACAAAGAAGGGTATTAATTATGATGGGAACTTGTCAGCTCATACTATAAGAGTGTGTGATTAAAAAACATGGGAAAAGTTATTACCTTGTGACTTATAATTACTCCTTTTAGCCAATTTGAATTAGTTTTACTATCCATGCCAATAACTGATACATTAGTTTAGATAACCCTTTAATTCACAGACCAAATTTGTAATTATCCCTACTGTCAACTGTACAGTTCTTGTAATGTTAGTTCAGAGAATTCAGTATTGGATCAACTAATTATTCCCAAATTGATATTTTTCTTTACTCTCAACACTTATTTGATGATATTGTATTGCTCTCATAAGGAGAAATTCTCTCTTGGTCACTCATGGGAGTGAAAGGGTTAAAAGTCAAATATTCACCCAATTTATACATAGTACGTGGGTAGATCAGATCTCTCTAAAACAAGCCAGAACAAAAAGCTTGGTAATGTTTACATATCCTATGCAGATTTTCTTGAATTTAACCTTTTCAACTACTTAGAGACCTGGAAACTTTCGTCATGTTTTCCTATGGACAAATACAACTTTTAAAGGCACGTATTTGTGTTGTAGACTTGTTTCTTCCACTACTGTAAAACATTCGTCTGATGTTAAAGCTATATTTATTTAAAAATTGAGCAGGTGCTCCCCAGTTTTTGGAAACAAGGGATTAAATCTAGATATTTCGCGTTAAATTTTGAGGCTGCATACAGAAAAAAAATTTTTTTTTCCAGTGTTGATTTACTTCATAACTGACTGAATGTTGATAAGACATCTACCTTTCACACAAGCCCTCCTAATAGACCATTTTATAGTTGTGTACCTAGTTGCCAAGCCTTTGATTTGGAGTGAGGCTGAAGGTGACCTTGTTGTGATAGAGACCAGTATCTAGTGACAATAATAACAAAGTAATTTGCATTTGAAAAGCAGCAATGTTTTTATCATAACAAGGTCACCCTTAGCCATCACTCTTGTTCAGAGGCTTTACAACCAAGCATGCAACTGTAAAAATGGACTATTACATACCAATATGATGAGAAAAATAATCTTTTCGTTTTGTCTACCTTTTTAACCCTTAACATAAAAAAGATTGACGAAAACCATAGGATCTTGTTGTCACTAAGACTTCAGTCTGTCAGAGAAGTGGGAGATAAGCCCATGGAGGAAAAACATCCCATTAATCATAACCATGGTAGTGCAAGTTCAGGTGATGTCAAGAGAGTCATAGAGTACCTCTATAATCGGGGAGAAGAAGCCATAGAGAACCTCAACCTACTTAAAATAGCTAAAGAAGTAGGAGACAAGCATGGGGAGGGTGTTATTTATAACAATCTTGGCAAAGCTTATCTCCGTCTGGGTGATTTCAAAAAAGCCATAGAGTACCACAACCTACATCTTAAAATAGCTAAAGAAGTAGGAGACAAGCATGGGGAGGGTGTTGCTTATAACAATCTTGGCAAAGCTTATCTCCGTCTGGGTGATTTCAAAAAAGCCATAGAGTACCACAACCTACATCTTAAAATAGCTAAAGAAGTAGGAGACAAGCATGGGGAGGGTGTTGCTTATAACAATCTTGGCAATGCTTATCTCCGTCTGGGTGATTTCAAAAAAGCCATAGAGTACCACAACCTACATCTTAAAATAGCTAAAGAAGTAGGAGACAAGCATGGGGAGGGTGGTGCTTATGGCAATCTTGGCAATGCTTATTTTAGTCTGGGTGATTTCAAAAAAGCCATAGAGTACCACAACCTACATCTTAAAATAGCTAAAGAAGTAGGAGACAAGCATGGGGAGGGTGTTGCTTATAACAATCTTGGCAATGCTTATCTCCGTCTGGGTGATTTCAAAAAAGCCATAGAGTACCACAACCTACATCTTAAAATAGCTAAAGAAGTAGGAGACAAGCATGGGGAGGGTGGTGCTTATGGCAATCTTGGCAATGCTTATTTTAGTCTGGGTGATTTCAAAAAAGCCATAGAGTACCACAACCTACATCTTAAAATAGCTAAAGAAGTAGGAGACAAGCATGGGGAGGGTGGTGCTTATGGCAATCTTGGCAATGCTTATTTTAGTCTGGGTGATTTCAAAAAAGCCATAGAGTACCACAACCTACATCTTAAAATAGCTAAAGAAGTAGGAGACAAGCATGGGGAGGGTGGTGCTTATGGCAATCTTGGCAATGCTTATTTTAGTCTGGGTGATTTAAAAAAAGCCATAGAGTACCACAACCTACATCTTAAAATAGCTAAAGAAGTAGGAGACAAGCATGGGGAGGGTAGTGCTTATGGCAATCTTGGCAATGCTTATGACCGTCTAGGTGATTTCAAACAAGCCATAGAGTACCACAACCTACATCTTAAAATGGCTAAAGAAGTAGGAGACAAGCATGGGGAGGGTTGTGCTTATGGCAATCTTGGCAATGCTTATTTTAGTCTGGGTGATTCCAAAAACGCCATAGAGTACCACAACCTAGATCTTAAAATAGCTAAAGAAGTAGGAGACAAGCATGGGGAGGGAAGTGCTTATGGCAATCTTGGCAATGCTTATCGCCGTCTAGGTGATTTCAAAAAAGCCATAGAGTACCACAACCTAGATCTTAAAATAGCTAAAGAAGTAGGAGACAAGCATGGGGAGGGTTGTGCTTATGGCAATCTTGGCAATGCTTATTTTAGTCTGGGGGATTTCAAAAAAGCCATAGAGTACCACAACCTACATCTCAAAATAGCTAAAGAAGTAAGAGACAAGCATGGGGAGGGTGTTGCGTATGGCAATCTTGGCAATGCTTATTTAAGTCTGGGTGATTCCAAAAAAGCCATAAAGTACCACAACCTACGTCTTAAAATAGCTAAAGAAGTAGGAGACAAGCATGGGGAGGGTAGTACCTATGGCAATCTTGGCAATGCTTATCGCCGTCTGGGTGATTTCAAAAAAGCCATAGAGTACCACAACCTAGATCTTAAAATAGCTAAAGAAGTAGGAGACAAGCATGGGGAGGGTAGTACCTATGGCAATCTTGGCAATGCTTATTCTAGTCTGGGTGATTTCAAAAAAGCCATAGAGTACCACAACTTAGATCTTAAAATAGCTAAAGAAGTAGGAGACAAGCATGGGGAGGGTGTTGCTTATTGCGGTTTTGGCAATGCTTATTCTAGTCTGGGTGATTTCAAAAAAGCCATAGAGTACCACAACTTACATCTTAAAATAACTAAAGAAGTAGGAGACAAGCATGGGGAGGGTAGTGCTTATGGCAATCTTGGCGATGCTTATTTTAGTCTGGGTGATTTCAATAAAGCCATAGAGTACCACAACCTACATCTTAAAATAACTAAAGAAGTAGGAGACAAGCATGGGGAGGGTGGTGCTTATTGCAGTTTTGGCAATGCTTATTCTTGTCTGGGGGATTTCAAAAAAGCCACAGAGTACCACAACCTACATCTTAAAATAACTAAAGAAGTAGGAGACAAGCGTGGGGAGGGTAATGCTTATGGCAATCTTGGCCATGCTTATTTTAGTCTGGGTGATTTCAAAAAAGCCATAGAGTACCACAACCTACATCTTAAAATAGCTAAAGAAGTAGGAGACAAGCAGGGGGAGGGTGGTGCTTATGGCAATCTTGGCAATGCTTATTTTAGTCTGGGTGATTTGAAAAAAGCCATAGAGTACCACAACCTACATCTTAAAATAGCTAAAGAAGTAGGGGACAAGCATGGGGAGGGTAAAGCCTACGGTAATATTGGTTGTATGTATCAAACTGAGGGAGATTTGATGAAGGCTAACGAGTCATACAACCTAGCGCTTAAAATTGCTCAAGGGGTCGAGGACAAATACTTGGAAGCAATGATCTACTGTTCATTAGGATGCGTTTCTGAGTTGCAGGGTGGACTGCCAAGAGCTGTTGAGTATTACCAAACTAGCATAAACTTATTCAATTCCTTGAGAGTACTTCTAAAATCTAAAGATGAGTGGAAGGTTAATTTTCGAACTCAGTATCAAAGGGCGTACACGGGTTTGTGCAGAGTTCTCCTAGAACAAGGTAATATAGATGACGCCTTATTTGTTGCTGAGAAAGGACGAGCCCAAGCTCTGTCCGACCTTATGGAATCTAGTTTTTGTGGTGGAACAAGTCAGGACAAGACAGGCGGTGAAGATTTAGCAGTCACTGCTAAGTCCTCATGGATTTGGATGGAACGTTTTTTAAAAGTTTTAAAAAACGTTCCATCAAACACCGTCTTTCAGGCAGTGGACAAAGCTGATGTGAATCTCTGGGTTGTGTCCGAAGGAAAACAAGTTCAGTTAAGACAAAGTAAACTCAAAAGTTTTGTTTCAGATAATAGTGGAGCTAGCCAGTCCTTTGAGTCGTTCATGCTCGGTGTCTATACACAACTTGGTGTTCGTTCTATTGTGAGATGCGAGAATCGGTCTTTGGATGCTTTGAGGGAGAGCCCTTCAAAAGTGGATGAGAAACCTAAAGAAGACACCCTTCAACCTGCCATCCAACAAAACAAATGCTTGAGCACTTTGTATGATATCGTCATGAAGCCGGTGGCTGACCTGCTTCAAGGGGATGAGCTAGTCATTATTCCCGATGGACCCCTGTGGCTTGCTCCTTACGCTGCTTTGAAGGATAGTAATTCTAAATACCTGTGTGAATCTTTCAGAATCCGAATCGCTCCATCATTAACGAGTCTTAGACTCATTGCTGATTGCCCAGATGATTATCATAAAAGCAGTGGTGCGTTACTTGTAGGAGATCCGTGGGTAGCCGAGGTTATCAACAGCAAGGGAGAGAAACTCCTCGAGCAGCTTCCGTATGCTAAAGAAGAAGTAGAAATGATCGGAAAAATTCTGAATATCACGCCAATCACCGGCAGACAAGCCACGAAACGTGAGGTGTTGAAAAGACTCAGTTCCGTTTCCTTAGTTCACTTTGCGGCACACG